AAAACAAAAACAGTCAAATGGGGGGGGGGGAATAAAAATTAATAAATGTAAGAAATACAAAATCCGTGAACTGATCATTTGTTTCACTAAGACTTATTACACAAAGTTACCTATACCAACACATGTGTGTTTTTCTCAGTGCTCCGGAACTGTCTTCAATGAATGTTAGAAAGAATCGACATTAAGCAACCATGTTGTACATGCGGATAATCCGGGATTTCATTTCTGTTATTGCTTAAATGAACTTATCAAAACATTCCTAAATTACATCGTATATTCGTGCTATAACTCTTCCGTTCATAGTAATTATGGCCGGTTAGGTGATTTGACAATGTGTATTAAGTGAATGGGGGATATTACAAAGTTGTACTCATGTATCCAAATACCACTTTGTTTATTCCCTAAACGGATGGAACTGCATTTGGTTCTATTTCTTCCCTGTTTGCAAGGATGAAAAATTTAAATATAAATCGTTTCCTAACGAGAAAGAGAGATCATTTTTGTCCTTCTTCCAGATCTACCGGTCTGGTGTTGTCCGGCGCGAACATAACATATTCTCTCATCGGTTTGCTTTTTCCGGTTTGATTGGATGGGAGCATGAGAACATTATAGTACAATCTAGTACTCACCAAGAATATCAGCAGTAACATGAGCATGCTAGTTGAAGATAAAGTTTGTTTTCGATACAATACTGAGCCGAAAGTAAAAACGCGAGATGCGCATTTTATTTTAGCTTACCTCTGCGGCAATTGCAACCGGGGTCAGACCTTTGATAGCACCTAACAGACGCATATGCTCGTACGATGTCATACGTTCTTCAAGCACATCAAATTGGGTACAAACACCGGTAATCTTGCGCAGTTTGATCGCATCCCACGCGTCCATCGGATTCTGGGAGACAGAAACAAAAATATTCGATTTGAACGAGTCATCAACTTCATATGCTCCTGATCTTAGTCCTGAGTATGACAGAAAGACAGACGGACAGATAGACAGATTATAGTGAAAAAACGTTCTGGAAACGAAAAACAAATAAGTTGGTTTGCATATAATAAATGAACATCTTTGACACACAGTGGGAGGCTCCTGTTCTCTCCCTACTGGGGTTACATGAAGTATTGAAATCTGCCGACCTATGGAACTTGAATAATTCACTCGGATTAAGTTTAAGCTTGTGGACTCCAATAATCGTACAGGCAAACCACCCTTGAAATGTCAGTTTAAATTTCACATGGTAGATTGTGGTAATCTGAACAGTGTCAAATATCGGAATATGAGAATCCGTATTGTAATGCTCGGAACTGAATCGACTCCAAACCGAACTGTGGACACCAATGAAGTACACAAGGAACTGATAGCATCAAATGCTTATGTTTAGTGATAGATTAAGGAAGTGTTTTGTAGAAACTAATAAACCATATAATTGGTTGAAGGACCGTCGCCCAACCACGTAACAGTTCGCGCCGACGCATCACATGTACTAACTCGGATATAATGTTCTCCTGGTGTACGATTGGCCCAGCCATGGTAGTGCGTGGAATGCAGTCACGTATGTCTGGATCACAACATGTATCCATTTGCACCTGCAATTTTCGTGTACAAGTTAATAAGAAATAATGGAACGAGGTTGTGACCTCGTAGCTTAGCACGTAGGGCGCACACTGAACGGAGAACATCGACAACCACCAGGTGTAGTTTTAAATCTAAGCAAGACTTGTGGTCACTTCACAACGAGGTTACACGAAAGCCTCTCCAAATCTCACCAACCAAGATCTACCTACGTCTAACGTAAATCCCAGTCACTTAGAACAAGACGTAGACAGTGTACAAATGCAACTATGTCTCGATATCTGGATAATTAAAGCAATACCATAGCAGACTCTAAGCAGATGGACCGAGAAGAACTTTAGAAAGATGCTTGAACTCATATTTCATGCAAACTTTTGAAAGACATATGAATATCATATTGAACTCATGTGAGCATGATATTTGAGCTTTCCAGATTTAGTGGTAATGTTCATTTAGAAAATATTTTCTTACTTTGAATAAAGCCAATTGAATGTAAATAAAGGTCCTTTTATTATGATTATTATTATGCGTTTCATAACCACCGTGAAATACTCACTTGTCCAAAGATACTTATGAAACCCCCGCTTGAAGGTTGGAGACCAGCTAAAATATTGAATATGGTCGTCTTGCCCGCTCCATTATGACCGAGAATGGCTGTGATCTCGCCCTTTTGTAAACACATGTCGACTTTTGAAACGGCTCTGAATGTGCTTTTGCAAAATCCCCGCCAACGCACATAGTCTTTGGTGACATCTTTCATCCTACAGAACGAAAACAGAAATAACAATTCATCAGTATACTCTTCCCAATCGCAGTCACAGGGGTGAATCACATGGATAGCCCAGTGCATATTCTAGCAATGTTTCATAATTTCTCCTTTTCTTTCATTTTTACTTCGTTTTATTGAATACAAAAGATACAGTTTGCAGCAAAGGAAAGCCGACAACGAAAGGGTTACCACACAACGGGTGGAGAGGATTAAAACAGATCACTTGTAGAGGCCACAAAACTGAGCTAAAAGAAAGCATCTAAGTGTAGCCTTCCAATTAAATTTAGGCTGCAATAACAAGTACTGTCACATCAACCTAACCGAGTAATTGGATTTGTCAACTAAACGGTGACTTACGTGAAATTTTAGATATAAATTGCCTGCCTTGGCTCTGTGTGATCAGCCATACGTTTCATTTGCTCATTTTCGTAAAACATTTCTCGGTAGGAAGGCTAGGTAGTAATAACAAAAGCTCATAAATTACGATGTGATTTGCATAAACGCAGACCTAAATATTACTCACAAAACTCCTTTACAAGCGAACCATGGAAGGTATCACGTCAAGGACAGCAGCGGCGGTAGTTGTTCGGCTAGTAAACAAATCGAATCATTTTCAGAAATGATGCATATAATAAATTCGGTTGTTTCGGTCACAATCTGTCACCAGCCCTCAAAAGAGAGAGGGTCTTTAGTTTAACCCTGTAGCAGAAACACACCGTGCTGCGGAATAGGACCTAAGCTCCTACGGTTTTCCGATCACATTACACAAACAAACAGCGACAACATGTTTTATGTAAACAGTGAGAACACACTTAACTCCGCTTTTCTCACACATTTCTTGTAGTAGCTCGAGAACTTTCTCCAAAAGATCGTTGGCTAAGCCATCATTTTCAATGAGGCCCAGGTCACTCGTGCAATATTAGGCCGTCAGCGACCCGAAAAGTGAAAACAACTTCCATCGGGGTGAAGAAATGACAGGCAGTTATTCACATTTGGCAGTAATTCCGCGCGAGATCATTGATGAGTACATCCCGAAAACCAGTGCGTATTAGTCAAGATCATGGATGCGGACTAGGAATGCAAAACTTGAGAATTGACCGGTGAACGATGATACGAAACGAGTCGGGAAACGGGTACACTTACCACACACGTGTAAATTCCATTTTCGCCTCTTCGACCAGTCGATCCAGAGTGGGTTGCATCTTGTTACGCATGAACACCGTCGACTGTTCCATCTTCTTTGATCGGGATCCCAAATATCTTCCAATCATAGCGAATGGAAAATACCATTCATATTTGTGCCCAGTTCCGGCTGACACCCGGGAAATAATGAATAATAGGGAGTGGCTCAAGCGGACCAGACTTTACTTACTGTATTTATATACATAGGATACAGTATGGAAAGAGAAGAGTAACACTACTAATAACTAACATCTTCGACAACGAACGCTGTCACAGATAAAGGAATTGAATATATTTCCGCGCGAAATACTCGAATAGTATTTAGTGTCACGATAGTGATGCCGTGCACAATTTCATGGTTTTCCCCTCTATAAACAGTTCTTCCGCGGTAATTGAATTACAAACTCGCTCCGACTCCGGTTGTGAACTCTCAAAGAAACGTCATCTGCTCCGGTCTGACATACAGAGCAAAGTTGGAAGGTGAAACAGTTAAAATAGAAAATGGTAGGTAACTGGGATAACAAAATGTTGTTTTTTGTGTTTCACCGTACTCCTTTTGATATTTTATTGTTTTATTTTATAGGGCACGGGATTTCGACAGGCAGACCGTACAGTGTTCGCCCCACTGCCTTCTGTTCCGGGCTATATCTCTCAGCGTCTCTAACCAACGATATTCCTCATCCCTTGGGACGCAACCTGAAAGGTTGGCTGCACCAATCGAAGACAAAGCTGAAGCCAGCTTATTCATGCCAATACGCCAAGTCATGGTCTGACCACCTCAGCACTTCTTCCACCCTTGCTCCTCACATGCAAAGAGAGCACGGAAAGATAGTCGGTGGGCAGGCATACGCAATACGTGACCAAGCCATCGCAGGCGGTGTAAAGCGATTAATTCTGTTAGAGAGCAACTATCTGCACCCAACAAATGGCGACGAAACTCGTTATTACTAGCCCGGTGTTCCCACCAGACACGAGCAATGATTTAGATAAATCGGTGGTCAAATACAAAAAGTCGATTAACATCCTCATACTGATATTGGTATTGGGGGATTTGGTTTGATCAAACGGTGAAGTTCGTCGTATGAAGAGCAAACAAAATGTGAACTGAAAAGCGAAGAAGCACTAAACTACTGTATTCTGTATGAGGGAAATGAAGAACGGCCTGATCAGCTGTTCCAGAGTGCCTTAGTGGATAGTGTGCCTGCGTTCTACCTGCGGGGTCCCGGATTCGCGATCCCCAATCGGTTCGATGGATTTGTGCACTGTTGATCTGAATCAATTCGGTCGAAGCAGCTACCCAGTGCTTTGTCAGTTCATGTTTCATTTGATCTTTACAGGGACAGTGTCATTATGGACCAGTTGCGACAATGCCCTGTTGGTGCGAAGTAGTGTGTATCCGAATCGCTGCAGCCTTGAAGTTGGACAAGGTAAACAGTTATCAAATTAGACAACATCTTTTGTTACATACGTTGCTGCATACTCTTTCTTCTAATGTCATTCGAAGGACACGCTTAGGTATACGTGTTCAAATACCTCTAAGCTTCTGATGTCCTAGGTTCGNGACCTAGTTTCACGCCCTGGGATAAATACAGATGGGACGCGAATCTCCGTCCGAATTTTTATTTCACTGTTGATCAAAAGCACTTCATATCGTTAAGGAGTACCATGCGTACAGCGTTATCCTCGCCGCTAGTTCATCGTTTGTTAGACCATTTTGAAGTTAGAGGTCTGTGACAGATAGCACACTCGATCTACTGATCGCTGACGTACAGTCGCTGAACCTCTGGCGCTGAGAACGCTTTCGTTTTTACTACGTTGACTTCCATACCAGTTATCATCGCATGATAATCAATTTTGGTTGAAAAGCGAACCAGAAACGGGTCTGATACATCTAATTGTGATTACTTAACTGGATCAAAATCTATCCTGATTGAGTTCGATAGTGAGACAAACGACTACCAAACACAATAAATCCACGGTTCACTCAACATAGACTCCCGTTATTAAGTGAGACATCCATCCATCTTCTTGTGCGTGGTTTTTCCCGTTTCGAGCTTCAGAAAACTGATGTTAGTTTCTCATTTGTGGCTTGACAGCCTCCATGCACAGGTTGAATGCTCATTGGGCAACTTTTATATGAGAAATTGAAAAAATTGAGAAAAATTGAAGGAGGTCAAAATGATTTTCACGTGATGGCAAAATGCAAGAACACCTCCGAAAGCCTCCGGTATGGTCGGGGGTCGGTGTCTAGGGTTGCGGTTGGTCACCCTTCCCTTGAACCTTGCGAAATGTTCCCATACGAACAGGCGTCTAAAATAGCCTCTGCTAAGGAAGCCGTGCTCACTACCTTCTCGTGGAGGTGTTTCTCCACCAAAGTGAAAAGACGAAAGGCCGATATCCGGGACTATAACCGGTTTGGTCGACCAATGGTAGTTCACCTAGGGAAGCTGGCCGAAAACCCTGATTTCAAACCAATAAAAAGAAGGCGTACGGATCACATCCACACCTTACCGGTTGTGGTAGTGGTCAACCTCTCGATTGGACATCGAAGTGTATTGAGCACCTTGGACGTTTTACCCCGTCCAAAGGGTGTACGATTTGATGGACTGAATACCGGCCCCCAATGGATTGCGATTTTCACATCGCCCCGCGCTGCCTTATGAGTCAGGCTTTGGCTAGCCGAAGGCTCCGGTTGTGGATTCCTCAAGAAAATTCACCTGCCTTGGCTTGGCCAACCTGACAGTATTTAGCCCCTGTGCAGATCATGGATATTTTTCTATTTTATGAAGATTATTGTACCACGATTTGCATGGCACCCATTATGGCATTAGACAAGTGTGAAATATGGTATAATTTAATTATATACAATGCAAGAACTGCATCACTTACTATTCAATACACAATCCAGATAAACACCGAGCAAGTTGAGAATACAAGCCAGCACAATTTGCATGAGTGCGTAGAATGTGATCTGTTTCTCCTCCCCGGTGATCATTGCGCGGGTCAAAATCTAAGTCAACCAGAGGGAATATGAGTGCTGAATTTTTTTTTGAAAAGTCCTCTTAAGAGAATAAAAAAAGAAAAAGTGTGATTCATTTCGAAATGAAAGCTGGTTTATTGACCACCGAATGGGTATGAGGTATCAAAGTAGAATTTACCAGCAGGCATCCAAGAAAGCCACAAGGAATCTAACAGTAGCAATCAATGGTACGTCAGAGGGAATTGTCACAACTTTGTAACTATCGGCTGAACTCAAGTCGACCCAGTTAACTTCCGGTGAACCGATAAACATTCACACAAACCTGACGCAACAATATTTGGTGAATACACGAAAACGTCAACTGAACCAAATGGTCACTATGCACTTAAGATTTGTTTGCCCGACTGTCTCAGACTATGTTGGAAAACAGTCTTTATGACATGAACTCGCACTCCTTGAGGGAGAATTTGTGTAGAGAGTAGACTGTCCATTATCGTGGTCCCGATTCCCATCCTTTTCGTACCAATTGAAATCCCACCTGATCAAAGATATAAAACGAACCATTAATTCCGTGAACTGCCAAATTTTAGCCCCCAAATTGAATGTTCTGGGAGCTGGAATTCGATAAAAATTGATTGTGATCATCCAAACAAAAGTGACACCTTGGCAGGCTCAATAGTATCAGCTTGTTAGCCTTCTAGCCGGTGCACTTTGTTAAGCATATCTTTATCGAACCGCTAAGTATCACCTAAAGGCGATTTCATTTATGATTGCCTAATTCTCCTTCGATCAACGGTCCTGATTTAACTGTCATTCTGAAAATCAGCAAAGTGATTACCGCTTAACTGGGCCAAAGAAAATGACCCACACGATCTGTCCGATCATTTTGGACGGGTGACGCGAGAAGGACACCAGTACAGGAGGTTCTCAGCACTGCACGATCACTGGACCCAGTTGGATTTAGGACAACCTGATAATCGGAATAGTACTGAATGTAGGAATACGATAGTCCGTACTGTAGTACTCAGAACTGGATTGGCTCCAACCGGAACTGCGGACACAAATGAAATACACGGGGAATTGGTAGCAGCAAGTGCTATTGTTTATTCATGGAAATAGAGCATGCCTTATAGAAAGTAATAAGGCATTTCATTGGTTGAAGGACTGTCGTCCAATCACGTAAACATTTTCGCATACATCGCATGCATTAACTCTGATGTGACGTTCGCCCGGTGTTCCATTGGTCCAGCTTGCTGGACTTAAATTGGATGATATGATGCTGTACCTGGTCGTACTTGGAATGCAGTCACGTATGTCTGGATCACAGCAGCGTTCTTTCTCTGAATATTGCTACATATACAAACAGCGTGATATCTATGGTGATTTATTTGGCATGACTACGAATCACTGAAAAGGATCTTGTTCTATTTGAAATGTGCTTTGTGGGACCCTTTGGACAATTCCGGTGTTTGTTAAACCGGATAATGCTACAGTTTGACGTTTGCATAGTTTACACCGTTGTAACCTGTATTCCAGTACCGCTTTGGTAGAAGAAACCCATTTGTTGAAAGACACCGTCTTCTGGGCGTTTTGCGCATCACTTTACTTGAATCCCATTTCGCCTTTTCGCCGAGCTTGGCAATTTGTTTGCAAACGTTTCATCACCAGCCGAGGTGACATCATCAGTGCTTGTGAAGTGGCAGTGTTCTGCTTGTACCCGTTCATTTATATATGTGTTCTTCTCCACCGCTTATTTTCGTTGTAGTCTGTGAAGTTAACACAAATAAGAACTCAAGCGATGAATTAAGTAGTTATGCTACTTCCAGTACGTAAATGTCGGCTTAACCGGTCCGTAGGCCGATGAGTAAGCAGGCGGACAGGCCTACTGGCGCAAGCGTTCCAAAAGGAGAATGTCGTCAGGCTGGGCAGCAAACGAACCAATCAGTGCGGACAGGTCAATAGTGACCTCTGGTTTTCTGAGGCGGATAGACATTGTAACCGAGTAAGTTCGAGTGATGTGCGTACGTGCGTGTGGTGGCAGGTCGCAACGGCCAATCACGTGATGTGCTGTAAAGGTTGTACTCAGCTCCGGGTCACAACATCTTCCTTACGGCTGCACGTTAGATCAAACACTAATAAAGATATATATATATATGAACGAAGTAAAATAAATGGATAATCGTAGGAAGATATTGCACGCAAATCCACTGAAATCGTCCAATTGCACACCGGTCTTGGTATTCACCACATTCGGTTATATCGCTGATTTTGTGTGTTAGGCTAGTCCGGCGATCCGCAACCGGCAAACCCCATCACGATGTACTTGACGCGACACCCTGGTCAGAGTTTCTGGTCACGCCCATATGTGGTCTCAGTTAGACCATCCTTGCCCTTATCTCATCGGCTACTTGTGTCAGCAAACATCGTTAATAATACCGGATCTTATTGCATCGGTACACTGAGGAGGATACACACTTACCTGCGTGTGGATGGAGGCGTGTGCATAGCTGAACAAGAAATATCCGTGTTCATCAATTTTCGAGTCACGATGCCAAACACTAGAATAGAAAGATTAAACATTTTTAATACGGTTGCTCAATAAGCCTTATTTTATTCTATCTGTAAAATATGTGAATCGGTAAGAGAGAAAAATATCAGTATCTGGTCGATACAACATATGACAGCACCATACAGAAATTATTCAAACCTCAAACCTCCTTATCATTGATCGTAAAGGTATAACAAGCAAATCAAATGGGTAACAGAAAACGACCACATATATACTACTAATTAGGTAAAACTAGGAAAGTCGATCCTGGCGTATATATGCAAGTAATATTGGTACCAAAACAATAAAACCAGTAACAGAGAACGGGAATTCGGCATGATAAACAAAGTGAAAGGGTAGCCAAACAAAGACAACGAATAGCAAGAATTATAATTATTTAGTGTTAGCCTATTGTTTTTATGGGGCACGGGATTTCAATAGGCCGACCGCACAACATTCGCGTAACAGACGCGTTTGACTACAGAGTTCAACTACTTGCTAAATAATTCACTCACGTTATCACCTTTGTATGATAAAGAACACAGTGTAGGCGAACATATGTTTTCGGTGAATTCCCTTTTCAGTCCTTTACAATCACATTTATATCAAACAATTTCTTTACGGTCAAACAGAAAGGTGGATGAGTCCTGTGCTTGGCAATGAGCCCAAGAGAACTCCAAATTTTTGCACAGTTTGGATCATATAACCAAAGTCGGCGGTTGCTAACGTCCGAACCCGTATTGCTCTCGAGGGATGTGGTGAGACTCGATAAATGATTGTAAATGTTGAGCGCATGACAACCAAGTGTCCCGTTTCTACCAGATGAGCAACGATCGAGCTTGACACAGTTCCACTCCCACCTTGTGTGAGCAAGAGTAGATTGTGTTCTTTGATCCGTCGAGATAACTGCCTTATCGTTCGACCTACGTAAGTCACACCATAGGTACACCTGAATTAGTAGACAATCATAGATGAGGTCAACATAGGCAGTTTATCTTTGTTGTAGCATCGGATGTTTGGTGACGTGGAGAACACACATCTTAGCTGAGTGGCATTGAATGTAGATTTCACTGCTGATGATATCCGTTTGCGTGGAGTGCCTCTTTTATGAGGTCGCTTTCATCGTTTAAAGCGTTCTGTATGCATATTTCACGAGCTCAATGAAATAGTATACGAACGAGACCAATCTTAAATCGTACGATGTGGGGAGCTCATGATATGCAAAATTTCCCGTACCACATGTTATTCCGGAAGACAGATCTTTTAATCGATCTATCCGATCGGTGAGTAATGCTTATACCTATCAAGTCGATGCGGTCATCCGGTTTAGTCGGGACAGGTCAGCTGTATCCCGGGGTAAATGTTGTTGAATCAATGGTCCACGTTTTCTCCGGTTTCCTTGATGTTACTTATTACGAAGATGGTAGCATGAGCATAGGCAGGGCAGAGAGGCCGTAACACCACCGAATGGCCGAAAATATCCTGGTGTGGATTGAGAAAGCGACGGGTAACAGGTTTGTAGCCTTCACTCCACTGAATGAGCAGAAAAGTCTTAGATATTCGATAACATAACACTTACTCCATCAAAAGTATTATCTTACTCTAACCCATTCATTCCAGGTCATCTACAAAGCAACAAACGGAAAATTACCGGAACTTGCCAACGCTCTAGCCACTCATACTCTCGAACGCGATCTATGGGAACAATGGTTAGTCACATTGGCTTGCCTTGGCGGTTCACTACCACTCTCTGTCGTTTTCGTCCTACAGTGTCGAGTTGTCCGTAGTAATCAGCGACCTTCTCTTTGTCTCATTTATTATCTCACCTGCCTTGGCCTGGGCAACCTGGCAATATTCAGCTCATATTCAAATAATGGAACATTTTTCTTTTTATTATTGTACCATGATTTCTTTGGCACACAGTCTGGCGTCAGACGCGATATACATATATATACCACGTTTTACTACCGGAGCTACCAAAACAACAATGAGCACTT